GATCACTATGGTAACTGATGCTGTGGCCATTTGACACATCAAACAGCCACATTTATGTCTGAAGAAGAAAACTGTCGCTACCTGTCATCAGTGATTGGAGTTTTAGGTTTTTGTTAATCGGAATAACACAAAGATCGTTTGGATTACTCTTTCTTCGGACAACTTGAACTCTTGGTCATGTTTCTCAAATGATTCTTGAATGCTGTTAACAGCGTAGCATCATCCTGCAGAAAGAGGTACAGATGGATAGGGGACTATTTTCGGCAGCAGATTAGTCTACATCTTTTCAATGTTTCTTCTTCTGCCATTCGTCTGCAGGCTAAAAGGATCTCGGGCAGTGACGCCCTCTCCCACCCTTACCTGGACGAAGGGCGTCTCCGTTATCACACCTGTATGTGTCAGTGCTGCTACTCGGTTCCCAGCGGCCGAGTTTACACCCGAGACTTCGAGCCAGTTGCCGAGCGTCCGTTCAGCCACAGCTACGAGAACAGTCTGCTGTCGGTGTGGCAGGGAAAAGGTACGATGAAGTCTTATATTTAAGGATCCATTAGTAGTAAGAAGCCGGATTTGTAGCTTGTCAGCTCTCTGTTTGTTGTACATGTGACTGATGTGTTATTCTTTTCTTTAAACCAGAGTTGATCCATCGCTTCATCACGGAGCACCAGCAGGGAAAACGAGTGCCGCTGTGCATCAACCCTCAGAGTGCTGCCTTCAAGACCTTCATCAGGTGAACATGTATACTGTGTTTCTCATATAAAAAGAAAGCAGCACTAACATCTGTTGCATTTTCTGATCTGCCAAAGTGAAATAAGTCAGCAGCAGACATTCAAATGTGAGAAAAACTGAGAAACACAAACGTTAAATATTTTCTCTTTCCTGCCTTTTAACATATAAAACATCAAATCACTCCTTGTTCTGTCCAAATAGTTTTTCTGTTTGTTTTTGCTGTTGTCATCATTTACTCCTGCATGTCCGTGTTTACTGTTTTGTGAAAGTCTTTCATTTGTTTTAAGTTTGTTTTTTTTTCCAGCATTAGTGTCTCACCTAAAACCCCTGAAGCTCCACCAGGTTGTTTGTTTTTTTTCCACCGTACAGAAATAGATGTTTGTTGCTCTTTTGTTGAGTTTAATTTGTCAGGATGTGTGATGCAAATGTTGAAGCTCAAAAACCTTTTAAAAAAAATCCTGACATTATTTAGATCTGTTGTTTTGGAAAAAATAGAAGTAAAAACCATATCGGTTGATGGTTCATATATAATCCAATAAATCGTACAGTGTTATTATTAGTTTTCTATCAATTAAAAGTGACATTTTAATTATAAACTTGGATCAATTTACATCTTATATCATTTATTTCTTATATAATTAGATTTTAACAGTAACTAAATGAAGCCACAGTGTCTCTGCTGCGTCTCCATCATGTATGTTTGACTTTAGAGCCTGTTGGGTGTTGAAAACGTCTTAAATTCACCTTGACCTACTTTTATTAATGTCCCTGTCCTCAGGTCGACCGCGTGGCACTCGTCTAAAGTGTCCAGGAAGGAGGAGAGATGAACGTCTTCGCCCCGACAGCAGCTCAATAACGGGATTTTAATCGTCCGCGGCATCAGAAAATACCGAAGAGTTTGGGTCTTCTTTTTTCTTGTTTTCGTGAAAAATATCCCCCCCCACCTCCACCCCCCCATGAAAATAACGAAAACTACGGCTTTCCTCGACCCAAACCACCCCCCCTGATGCTCGAGGCGTTTTTTCGGTGCTGATTTACAAAAACAAACAAAAAAAAAAAACAACGAAAAAAATTGCTGCTGAAGTGCTTGAGGAGGAAACGACTGAACTCGACTGGATTCTGTTTGTAGAGACTTTAATGATTAATGATGGTTTTAACTGTTTGGTAGAATTAGTTGGTTTTTGAAGTCATTCCAGCCCTGTGCAATACGGTTTAGTTTGACACTCAGCAGGACGTCATCGCCGCCAAAACCACCACCATGTTAACGCCAAACGCCGCCAAGGTTTCCTCCCTTTTTCTTCTTTTTTTTTTTTTTTTTTTTACGTTTGAACGCATCACTCACTGTGTTTTTAGTCGCTCGGTGCAGCGACTTTAATGCAATTTAGCAGATGTAGCAGGTTTTCCAGGAGTTTCTGCGTGTACAGTTTGTTTTTCTTCATTAACATGTTCAACGAATTAATCAGGAATTCATCCCCACAAACGTTTCTACAGTCAGTGTTTTAGAAAACGTGTTTCTGCTCTTAGAAAGATGCCAAAACTGCAGATATTTGGCAGCTTCTTCTTCTTTCCTTTGGTCTCGCCTCAGAAGTGTTTTTTATTTTCCTGCTCGACTTTCTGAGAGAAAACCAGGAAGCAGCGACGACGGCGATGATGGGTTTTTTTTTTTGTTTTTTTTTTCCTTGTTGTTTTTATCTCTTAATTTATTGTGTGTTTGTTGAAGAGCGAGTGTCTCCACCTTTTGTGTCTCTTTTACCTCAAACCCCCGAAGAAGAAGAAGAAACAGAAACTGGAGGACGCCGGGGTGGGAAATGTGCATATCTACGAACTGAAACGTCTCGACTTTAACATCATTCCTCCAGATTCCTCGTGTTACCTCGTGTTCGCTCCTCTGCTCTGAATCATCAAGAGAAGAAGAAGGATGAAATGCTGCTGTTGTTTTTTTTTTTTCTTTTTTCTTTTTCTTTTTAACTCCTGTTCAGTTTCAGGCTCAGGACTGTGTGAAGCCACATGAGGACGCTCCAGTGTTGGATTATCAGGATCCATTTGGAAAAAGAAAACAAGAGTTTTTACAGAAGCTGCTTTTCCAACAAATGTTACAGGAACCTAAAATTTTACCGAAAGCTACCAGAACTTAAAGCTGCGTTTTCCACTGCAGGAAACAGAGTCGACATTAAGTTGAGCTGAGGGAGTTATAGAAACTTTTTTATACGCAAAAAGTCCTGCTCAGAGGGTCACAACATTTCAACAAGTCTGTTTGGTTCGTAGAATTAACATTTTTTAATCTGCTGCTGCTCCTGGAGGTTTAAATAACAAATACCCAACGTTCAGGTGTTAACATGCACGTTTAGAACGCTAAAAACGTCATGAAGGAAATGCTGAGACTGAAAGGAAAATGTAAGATCATTGGAAACCTCAACATTTTAGGAAGAAAGACGACTAAAATTACAATAAAATTAACTGTTTTGTTTTTTTAAAGCGAGGAATGGCCTCCACGTTTTCTGAAAATTTCCATCTACCAGGTTGCCAAAGCTATGAGGGAGATTCACAGCAAAATAAACCAAAACCAACAACTTGAATCTGCTCCATGTTTTCTGTTGTTGCAGAGTCTTTGTTGTTGTACATCAGCAGGTTATTGTAAAGTCACAAGAATCTGCTTAAATTTTGCGCTTTTTTTTTTTTTTTGTTAGACTATTGGTGGAAACTAATGTCAACCAACAGTCCAAAGGAACCTTTTAGTTCTTGCAAACATGTTTCTGGGACTAAAAGTTCCAGGTTTGTTGGGTTAAAAAGTCCATTAACGTTCCAAAAGACTAAAGGTTTCTTCAGTTCCTGTGAAGTCGACAAATTTTGTCTTAAAAAACCACGACGTCCTCTCAGCTTTCAGGTGTCTGTATAGATTCCTGCTGGATGTTTTCTTCCACACAAATGGTTAAAAAGTTGTCCGTCTATTAGAGAAGCGTTCGTTGTGTTGAAGCACAACAAACAAAATTGAAGCGAACTCGTTTCCAGAGCTGTGAAACTGATCAGTAACTTAATTTGGCTATCCAGCCGTCTGCGCTGTCGATCGATCATTTTCAAAATATCTGCAGCTGATTAACTCCCTCAAACACTGAACACTTTAGGAACTGAAATATTGTTCGTCAACACAACCTGATGCAGCGAGTTCCCATCAAGTTTTCTGATCCTGCAGTGGAAACACACAAACTGTGAGATTTCTGTCCTGTGAATTCAGTTTTCAGTGACCAAACTGGTGGTTTTTACATGTTTAGCTCCACAGATTAAGAATCCTTAACGTTGTTTTTGTTACTGATAAATATCTCCATCGTCTGGTGAACAAATACTGACCAGAACCCACAGTGATGTTTGTTTAATTAGCCCAAAAACCAAATTATGTATCAGCTCCAAAATGCACTGAACACATTTATCAAAAAGTCCACTCATCAGCTGTAAAGTCTGCTGGAGGCGACCAAAACTGAGATAAAATCACGTTTAATTCACAAACGTTCTCTGTCTGCCTCTAGATCGGAGTTTTTTTTTAATGGAGTTTGGTTCAATGAAGGTTCATTTTAGGGCTGCAACAAACAATGATTGTCATTGTTGATAAATCAATTGGTTTGTTCAGAAAATGGTGGAAAATGTTCACAAGTGTCCAAAGATACTTTAGTTTACTGTCACAGAGGAGGAAAGAAACCAGAAAATATGAATATTTTCTGGTTCAATTCAACCAGATTTTCCTTCTGAAATAAATCAAACTGATTTGATTATCAATTATTATTTTAATTATCAACAGTTAACCAATTTGTTGTTGCAGCTCTGGTTAATTCCTTCCCCTCAAAACAACAACAAAAATCTGCTGGAGGCGACCAAATCTGAGCTAAAAATCTGGATTCATTCACAAGCATTCTCTGGCTTTAAATTGGAGCTTTTTTGAATGGAGTTTGGTTACATGAAGGTTCGTTTTAGGGCTACAACTATTTTCACAATGAGAAAATATTCACATTTAAAGAGCTGAAATCACAGAGTTTTAACGTATAAAATTACTCAAACTGATTCAAAGTAGTTGGCGATTAATTTGATCGTGGAAAGCTAACCGATTAATCGTTCCTGATTGGCTCCATGAGAACCCTCAGATCCAGATGTTTGGACCCTTTTCGACTGCAAGAACCCTTTTAGAACCTCAGGAACCCCTCAGTCCGGATCAGCCGAGTCTTTTGTCTTTATTTTCTGGAACTCGGTGGAAACTCGGACTCTCTGGAGGAACCTTCGGCTCCCGGATGATGCTTTTTTTGGGAGGAATTTGTCGGCGACCCCGAGCGTCCTCGTCGGCTCCTCGCAGTCTCTCGGTTTGTTCAAAGTTTTTTGGGAACCCTGAAACCTCAGCTGGTCTCCGTGGAAACGCCGAGGCCGACTTGTATATCTGCATGTGTATATTTATTCCCCCGTGGAGAAGCATTAGGGTTTGAATGCTGTGCAATGGTTGTCGACGAAAAACGTACATTTTGTGCTCATTTTATTTAATTCATCTTAGGAAGTGATTTTATTAGGAGTTCTGTTCTTTATTTTTCTGTTGTTTTGTTGTGAATTAGACTTTTTATGGAGTTCGGAGGCGTCTTGACAACTGTTCCCTAAAAACATTTTGAGGTTCTGGTGGTTTCAAGCAGCAGCTTTTAAAACACGGCTGCTCGTTGGTTCAACTTGTGTCCTCAAATCGGCTCCTTTTCATTAAATTCATGTATTTGTAAACTCAGACAGTATTTTTTCCCCCATAAGCTTCATATTTTAGCTCTTAAACCCAAGTTTGTGTGGAATTTCTATACAGTTTTGCTGCTTTTTAAGCCTACAAGACGTAAATTAGGCCCTAAAAATAATGATTTATTTTATTATCAGTTATTTTCTAGACTTTAAATCGAGAAATGACGTTAATGTGCTCGTCATTCGCTTGATCAACACTCACTTCAGTGTTTGTGGTGAATTTAGGACTTTATTTTTCACCTGTTTTAAGGCTAATGAGAGACAGAGGGGTTCAGTGGTGCGAATTTGGGTAATTTTATGCGCAAAATATGTCAAATTTCCTCACAATTTGCTGAAATGACAGGATATTTCCTGCACAGTTTGGTTTGAATCTTAAGGAAAATGGAGAAAATGTTTGTTGCAGTCACATTTTTACAGGAAAAAATAACAAATGATGCATTAAAAGAGTGAAAAAAGAGTCATAAACGAGACAACCAACACTTTTTAATCAGGATGTTCAGGATCTATTTGGTAGCTGAGTAGTTTCAGTTACGTATTAAAACATAAAAGTGTTTATTGAAGGAACCGTTCGACTGTCCAGGCTTCACTGCAGGCAAACTGGTTTTGGTAATTTAATTAATTCCAGATTTAAAAGTGTAATTTAACCCAAATACTGAATCATCCGGTTCAGTTCAGTTAATAGAGCGGCCATTAAAAATGTTGGACTGACATCACACAAACTCATTGACCCTGTAGATGTTAAACTTTCCTCAACAAAGTCCGTTTTAAACCAAACATCCTGTGATTTGTACAGTGTTTTCTGAGGCTCATAAATCCCCACATTCTCTGGTTTTGTTTGATTTGTGGAGCAGCTCAAACGTACGAGCATCATTGTTATTATTATACATTATATGTGATTATTTTGTGTGAAAAGTGGTTTTCACTTCAAAATTGGAACATTTCAATCTGTTTTCAACATAATTCAGTTTGAAGACTTTTCCATTGAGCAGCACAAACTTTCAGGAGTGTACAAAAGGTTTGAATCACTCCAGCAGGACACCAATGAAAACGTCAAATGAAATCGACTCTTAAACTTTTTTTCCTTCTGTTTAGTCAAACGGACGACTTCTGTGACCGTAGTTTGGAGTAAATGTTCAATAAGTCGGGTTGAATCAGTTCAAAGCTGCGACAATGTGATAAAAGAAGACTGTTGATGTCGACCAACTAGTCCAACGCTTAGTCTTTATTTTCTATTTAAGGATTCGTTATTAAATTATGTTTGATTAAACTGCAAAATAAAAAAAAAAGAATAATGAGACGGAAACAAGTCCTGTCAAACCAGGATTTACACTTGACTCGATGAAACGTCAGCTTTAAACACAATTTGTCTTCAGGTTTCTGCTCATAAATGTCTTTTCTACAAGACGAGCTTTATAGAAAACGTCTAACTGACCGATTTGGCTCAAAATCCCACCAATACAAAGAGAAGAGCAGCACATCGTCACAGTGCAGAGTCTGTAAATACACGTTTGGCTTATTATCAGATAAGGTTCTAAATTAGATACAAATGCATGAATTGGGTGCAGAAACGAGCGATTTGAGGCTCAGCTTTAGGTTTTAGGGAGCAGCTGATCCAGAGCTCTTCCTCCGACTCGTCCTTCTTTCCTGTCGTTGTGTTTAGTGGATCCTTCCAGGTTAGTTCAAACTAGACGGCCTGTGTTTGGTCTTTTTCCTCCTGATCTCTGCTCTCAGATCAGCCGCCGCGGCGTGTTCAGGAGCAGAGCATTAGACTCTTCTACGAAAAGAAACTTGATGTGTTTATTATTCTAAATATGATGTTTTAAACTGATGTTTTCTGTCTTTGTTTTAGCAAAAAAAAAAAAAAAAAAAAGTTTTTGGTTTTTTTTTTCTTTGTGTTTATTTTTGTTTTAATTATTATTTTTTTTGACTTGTGTTCCCAACAAATACTTGAATTTCTTAAAAAAAAAAAATGTTTAGAGTTAAAGTAGTGAATGACAAATAAATAAATAAATGGACACTGGATAATATTCCTCCGTCGTGCTCAGAGGTCTCATCTTTTTCACCAGTTCACAGCTGATCACCAACTTGTGCGAAAGGTTGATTTTATGATGTGAAATATTGACTCTCTCCAGCAGAAGCTACATCAAGAAGGTTTCTACAAAGTAATGTTAAAATAATTACAAATATAAACAGTATTTAGTAGAGGCACCTTTGGCTGCAGTTACAGCATCGATCCTGTTTTGGTCTCAATCAGCCTGAACATCTGGATGCTGCTGTTTTATTCTTCTAACTCTGTCGGGTTAAACAGGGATCATTAGTAAACAGACCTCTTTAAGTCCAGACACAAATTCTCAGTCGGACTGAGGTCTGAGCTCTGACTCGGCCTCCAGAACCTTCACCTTGTTGTCTTTAAACCATTTGACTGTTTGTTAAGGCTCATTGTCTTGATGGAAAACAATTTTTTTCCAAAGTCACAGCTCTCATCAGGTTGTCCTCCAGGATTTCTCTACACTTTGCTGCATTCATTTTACCTTCTGCCTTTACAAGCCTTCCAGG